ACTACTACTACTACTCCTGCTCCTACAACTACTCCTACTACTACTACTACTGCTACTGCTATTACTACTGCTGTTGCTCCTACTACTACTACTACTACCACCACCACTACTACTACTACTACTACTACCACTACTACTATTACTACTACTGCTATTACTACTGCTGTTGCTGCTGCTGCTACTACTACTACTACTACCACCACCACGACCACTACCACTACCACTACCACTGCCACTGCCACTGCCACTGCCACTGTCACTTGCCACTGCCACAGCCACTGCCGCCTGAGCTGGCGTGGCGGGCGGTGGAGAGGAAAGTCTTGGGGGGGATTTTTGGGGAATTAAATGACTCAACTACTACAACCACAAAGCAACGCCAGGGCGAAGCGGGCCTGAGCGGGCCTGAGCGGGCGTGGCGGGCGGTGGGCCCGATTACTACTTACTACAACTTATTTACCTACAACTTAATTACCTACTGTACCTACCTACTTACCTACCTACCTACCTACCTACCTACCTACTTACCTACCTGCATGACGGCTTGCCTACTTCTACTACTACTACTACTGCTGCTGCTGCTGCTGCTGCTGCTGCTGCTGCTCCTGCTCCTGCTCCTGCTAATGCTAACGCTACTGCTGCTGCTGCTGCTACTACTACTACTACTACCACTACTACTACTACTACTACTACTACTACGACTACTACCACCACCACCACTACCACCACCACCACATCATCATAATCATCATCCTTATCCTTATTATTATTATGATTATTATCATCATCATCATGTACAGTCACCATCACCATCCAAGTCCGGCCCATATGCGGCTCAGACATGTCAGACTCAGCTGTGAGCCCTTACCTGAACCTTGCCCCGAGAAGACTGAATCTAGGTGAAGAAGTGTTGATTTCCTATGGCAGCCTGTCCAACCCGCTGCTTTGGCGCACCTACGGATTCACGCTGCCATGCAGGTGCACCGGGGTACCTGAACCCGTTTGCTGAACCCTGAACCCCTCCATGAGGGCATGCATGGAGTGCTGTGCTTGGACTGTGCCGTGATCTCCCTACCCTTCAAGCCGTTATCCACGTGAATTTGTATGCAGCTTGTCTACCTAGGTATCATGGTTTGTTGTCTCACGGTGAAGGAGATAAAAGAAACCATCCAAGACTTGTGAGCTCCACGGCGTTCGGAAGCAGAAGGTCATCTCAGAAAGTGCTGCTTCTGCCTCGCGCTGCCCTGAGGGTCGAGCCGAGCTGGACCTGCACCTTCTCCCAGGCAGAGCTCCGCGACGTGCCCTGACCCTGCTATCTCTGTGTGTGCCTTCTGCGGTTTTGAGGGCAGGGGTGGTTGTGTGCTGGAGGCTAGAGTGGCCACAAAGGATGGATCCCCATCACATCCCAAACCCCCTGCAACATCGTGATGATCCGGTGGTGCTGATTCCAACTAAGGCCGCCGAGGGCGCTGAGGAGGTCGAGGCAGTCTCATCACTTCTGACTTGAGGGCTTGAACTCGAGCAGTTGCCTGCTTCGGCCCGAAACGACGGGCATCCTCTGAGGATCTGCCGAATCTGCACCTGGATACCTCACGCGTGACGGACGAGCTCGCTCTGATGCTGCAGGCGGAGCTCAGCAAACAGGAGAAATCTCCTGCCTCAGCCTTGCAACATCTTGGCTACCCACCCTGCGAGTTTCATGAAGCTTGGAATAGCTTGGACATGCAACGTCGATAGAGCTGGCTATGCTGGTAGGCTTCGGAGAATGGTGGGAAGTGGCTGCAGAGACTTCTCTCCAGGCTCGAGTGCATGAACATTTTCTTAAGTCAATGTGTTTTCCGGAAGCGGAGTATGAGCAGTCTCTTCCACAACGATCGTCCGCTAGTGTGCGACGGTCCACTCTACTCAAAGGGCTTGTCTGTATGATAGTCCGCGTCGGCTGGATCTGTCCAAGTCGGTTTGCGGAAGGGATGTTCGCACGAAGCGCGCCCACCAAGACGCCAGCAGCTTCGCCCCCATGCTTCGCAGCTTCGCTTCGCGAGTCCGAGGCGGCTGGAGCGGGGAGCGCTGGGAGCGCTGGGAGTGGGCTCAGGCGCTGGCGGCTTTCGGCTCCCTGGCAGAGTGTCCGTATCAGGTCTCAGTGGCCACGGTGTGGGTATTCCGTGAGCCCGGCTCAGGAGTGAGACGCTGCCGATGGATGCCACTGACGACCTGACCCGGATCCAGCTTAGTGAGCTCTTCGGCAGCACCGAAAATAGAAAGATTCTGCCCGGCAGGCCACGAGGTCTCATGTTGCACGGCATTGTCCGAGGCACCTGTGCCTGCTCGCGCATGTGGACGTCCTCAACGAGATGCCGGGCGGTTATCCCCTCGGCTTGGGCAACTGAAGAGTTTTGCTGGAAGATCACGGCACTTTCGACGTTAGTCAGCCCTTTCACCTGACCTAATGTTTCGAGATGGGAAGTTTCTTGTGATCTTTCGACCAGCAAGAACAAGCAAAGGAGCCTGTCGACAGCCGAAAGAAAAACAGAGTCTGACTCAGAGTGGGAGCGCCTTCGCCCAGCGCCCTTCGCCCAGGCCAGGGAGGCGCTCAGCGACTTCCTGCCGATCTCCGTGCCCGCTGCGAGGCCGAGATGTGGGGACTGTGGGGATAGCATCCCATGTCAGGGTCTTCAAGCTGCCTCTGCGCGGCTCGCACAGAGGGCTTGGGTGTTCGGGTCCGAAGGCTTTGAGGGTCTGGTTTTTTGGAGACCCAGAGGTTCCCATCTGGTGCTATCAAAGGGACCTGGACCCTGAGGAGCTGTGGCTGGGACCAGAGGTCACAACCACATCTTTCCCGAACGAAGCCGTCCGAAGTCTAGGTACAGAGTCCAACAGGCTGTCAAACGGTGGCCCTCATTGCACTGACGATTTTCCCCCCCCCCCTGCTGTTTTTCCGTTGCGAATTTCAGCTCCGCAGGACCTGCGCCGGGAACTGGCGCTCATTCAACAGGCCGTTCTGCTGCGGGGGTGGCATCATTTTCTTCGGGTTTGTGTTTCAGGTGGTCTGCAGGAGCTGCACCTTGAAGGTGACCATCCTGAATCCGAAGCTCCCAAATCCCCCCTGCTCGCCAAGAGCCCTGGTCCTTGAAGGCTGGCCTCCTCTGCCTGAGCTGACTGCGCGGTGCAGGCGGAAAAAGGATCGCTCAGAGCGGAGGAGGGCTGGACTGGGCCTCGTTTACGTGGTGACTCGAAATCGTTGGGACTTAAAAGTTCCGGTGCAAGGTGGGTTTCGAAAGCCTTCTCTGTAGGTGCGCAGACTGTTGGATCTGTTGGTGAGCCGAACAGGATGAAGAGCACGGCGTGAAAGCAACCACAATCAGGGTGACGTTTCTGGTCTCGGGGGGCACTGCGGAGCTTGCTTAATTGCCACAGGATGATGACGGATGATGGGGACTGCAACACAAGACAGGTGTCAGCCACTGTCATCTTTGCTGTGGGAGAAGGAAGGTGTTAGAAGTTCATGAATCATGCCACTTCATTTTCGCGAGAACCTGACATCCAGCCTCACACCTTGCATTCCTCGAGATTCTAGATCCGCGTCCAACGCCTCCTCTTCAGAACTCACGGGAATCTTCCATTCCCATCCTGATAGTTTCGGCCAGAGTCCTCGCAGTCCTTTTGGATGCAATGGAAACTGGTCGGCATTAAGTACCATCACAGGCTTTGGAGGTTCGTTCGAGGTCGATGTCTTCCACGGCACTGCTCAATAGCTGGCAAGCTGCCTGGACAGCTGTCAGTTTGGTCGCAGTGGCAGAGCATTTCGGCCACGGGCAGCTCTGGCGGGTGATAGCCGATGTGCTTTCTCCCACGTGGGCATGCGTGGTCGGCCAACACTACAGGTCGCACTGCTCAATAGCTGGCAAAGCATAGAAGCCGCTTTGACAGTTTGGTCGTAGTGCTAAAGCGGAGGGGCCTTCTTTGCTGCAGCTGTGGTTGCTCACGACAGCAGCGCCAAAAAGTGAAGGCCGTCACGATGCGCAAGTTCGGCGCTCCAGCTTGCCTAGCTAGAATGACAAGGTGGACACGTCCGACGCATGGGGGCAGCAGGATGAAGACACCTGAGTGAGTATGCCTTGCATACAAGTGTCTCGAACGAATATCGTGTGGATCAGTACAGGTAGCTTCAACCTCACCCTTCCATACCCAGCAGTGGTCGCGCCTGCGCAGGCTCCTCGTGTCGGGAAGGCACCGGCGCAGGAGGACCTCCAGGCGGCGTCCACGCCGTCTGAAGCCGCCAATCATCGGACTCAGGAATGCTTCTGGAAGGGAACGCCAGGAATGGGAAGGGCTTAAGCCTCGTTCCTCAAACCCAATGCATCCTGGAATCAAGAGCATTTCTGGCCTTAGTGGGATCCCGAACCCCAACAAGCTCCAGACCGGTTCCAGCATAAGATCGAGTTTGAGTTTTCTGTTTTGGATTGCGTGAATCAGTGCTGCACCGCCGTCAAGCCTTCACTGCCTCAACCCGAAGTTCTTCACCCGACGACTCAGCGTCTCGGCTCCGCTTCGTCCGCCTCCCTTGTGCCCCCGCGCTCTCTGCAGCATGGCCCTGCGACGCTTCAACGCCGGCGGAAAGAAGCAGAAGGCCCCCGCACGGTCGAGTTGGAGATTGCTGACATCAAGCCGGAGTACAGATTTGCTGTCTAGAGCAGACCTGTGGAGGTTTCTGTCCGAGTTTCGCTTTTCCTTCCCAAACCGTACGAAAGCAAATCGATGCGTCATGTTTAACAACTCAGCACCACTTCTTTGTTCGTCGTTGTAGTTCTGCTTTTTGCATAGGCTGCTGCATTCGGCTGATGGAAAACCGCAGCCGTCCCACAGAACTCTCACGCGGCGGGTGCGAACATCAGGTAAAATCAGCACTAGAACCATGGGTTCACACACGGCTGCTGTCGCCGCCGTGCGCACGAGCAGTTCGTGCAGGCAGCAGGGGATGGCCATGCCGGGCCAAAGATTCAGCAGTTCACAATAACACAAGGCACTCTCAGCTCAGTCTGAGACGTCTTGCCGACGCCGTTTCACGGAGAGGATCTAGGGGTGCCTATTCCTGCAGACTTCTCTAGGCTTTTGGAGCACTTCCGGCAAGTTTCCGACATCCTCCATGCCACTGCACGAATACCAGGCAGACCTCATGCCGACCTCAGGGTAAGAACTGCCCCAACAATCACGTCAAGAAACTAACACGACGCTCGTGTAGAAGCATTGTTACTGCGCTACCGAGCTCACCGAGGGCCACGGCAGGAATCCCAGGAGTGCAATGTAGAAATTGCAAACAGCGTCGCTGTGTAAATTTCCGACAGGGGAACGAACACAGGGAGTTGGATCGTCGCGTGAAGTCCACGGGGCAGCAACTGTTGTGAAAGATCCTCAAGTCAAGTCGTCTCAGATGCCAGTTCGCAGATGCTACAACACTAGAGGCGCCACAGTGACACAGCGACGACTGTTGTGTTGTAGGGGCTACAGTAGCTACAGGTCCGAATTCCAAAAGGCAGCCACAACGCATCCAAAACGTGCATGTTCGAGACATGTATGCTTTTGACCCACAATGCATTGCAAACGCACTTCAATCGCAGTTCGAACACACTTCAAACACACTTCAAGAGCACTTCAAAAACATCCCAAAGGCAATTTCCCAGATGCCCCCAATTGCACTTCAAGTGCACATCAAACGCACTTTTTCAAAACACAGCATGTCCAGAGTTAGCAGGCAGGAGATCTTGACTACTGTACATGACACAGCAAGGACGCCTGTTTGGAACATGTGTCGGGAAGTCCACTTCACGGATTGCCCACAAGAACGGTTTAAGTGTCGACACATGTGCAGTTGGTTTCTACTTCTGGAATCATTCCAAGTGAAACGGCTCCCGCCACAAGCATGCAGTCATTTTGTGCTTCTCTGACTACAGCAGTCAGCAAACCACAGCAAGCAACCATAAGTCATTCATTCAGCACAAGGTGAGACAAGCACAAGAGCACGTTGAGCCAGTTTACAGTCTACGGCAGGGCTTCCATAAGAGCTAGCCTAGTACTCCCTCTGTGTACTGACACGGGCGTTTCCCTGAGCCCGTATTGCAGGAGCTGACCGAGGAGCAGAAGCAGGACACCGGTGTGTGCCTCTGTCTTACATGTTCCGGAATTTCTTTGGGCTTTGTAGTCTGCGCCGAAGTAACAAAAATCGATGCGGTCAGGGAAGCATTTCGACAGTTTTGTCGGACGGTGTCATAACGTTTACGGACGTTCCGTCTGCAGGAGATCAAGGAGGCTTTCGACCTCTTCGACACGGATGGCTCAGGCAGCAAGTAGGACCATCGGCTTCTGGCATCCGTGCCTATACCAAGACAGTGCAGTCACGTCGTTGCTGCAGCACGAGAAACCACGCCATGGCATTTGGGGTTTGGGTAGAAGGACCCAGCAATACAGGGCTTAGTGGCCCCCCACCCTCATGGGCCGAACATGGAGGGTTGTGAAGTGAAGACGAGGTGATAGGGAACGACTGAACGACGTGGAAAAAGTATCGGATTCCGGCAAGCGCAAGAGGCGAGATCGACTCCAAGGAGCTGAAGGTGGCCATGCGTGCCCTGGGCTTCGAGCCCAAGAAGGCCGATGGTCGGAATGGTGGCGTAGTGGTTTAGGAAGCAAGCAGCAAGCACAAAACGGCTTGGGCTCTTCCGACTGCATTCCCACCCAAAGCATGACGACTGTCGACTTGTTTGCTGGATGCTTTGGCCTCTCTGGCACAAAGTTCTCCAGGAAGAGATTCAGAAGATGATCTCAGACGTTGATGACGACGGCAGCGGCACCATCGGGTACGAAGAGCTTCTTGGCAGACTCGGATTTTCCACGGCTTTCTTCTCTCTTCTATCATCGCCCTGCTCGCTCTCGCTCCATCTCTCTCTCTCTCTCTGTTTCTCCTCCTACCATCCCTCTGTCTGTCTCTCTGCAGCGAGCGGCTTTTCTTAGGTTCCTGAAGATGATGACCCACAAGATCCTGAACCGAGATCCGCAGCTCGCCTGCCTTGTGCATTTTTTAAGCAGAGGGTCCCATGCCACGGCTGCCCCGGCACTGCAAGGAAGGACGAGATCCTCAAGGCCTTCCGGCTCTTCGATGACGATGAGACCGGCAAGATCTCTTTCAAGAACTTGAAGCGCGTAGCCAAGGA